TCAGACACTATGACTCCTGGGGTCATTTTCACATGGGAGAAAGAGATGGGGGAGGATAATGGTGTTGAAGACGGACTCTGGACTTCAACACTCAACAGTCAACAGTCAAAGTATTTTATTAGAATCCAAATGGAGTCACATTTTAAACACAGTCACGTGTGTGTGTAGACGCTTCTTTCCAGCTGCTGATGGTTTTCATCTCTCTGAGTCTGAGCTAATGTGATGTATGTTTCTGGTCCTGACAGTGAACAGAGGAGTTCTTCAGAACTGGGTCATTTCTAGAGTGGATTCAGACTCAAACCTCAGCTTCTCTGATGTTTCGTTACAACACTGACATCCTTTTCTGTTTTGTTAATCCATTGGTGTGTGTGTGTGTGTGTGTGTGTGTGTGTGTGTGTGATAAAATTAGGAGAGGGCTTCCTGTGTGTGATTTACAGAGTGGAGGGGAAACAGAAAGAAAACCATATTAGGTAATGTTTGGCTGAACAGAAGAGATGGCTCTTACTGTTATCACAGCCTGTCTAAACACACACACACACACACACACACACACACAGTCGTACTGAGAAGTCCAGTGTGTGTGAATTGTCCACCATCGCTGAGACTGACTGGAGGTTGTTGAGGAGAAACTTCATCCCAGACTCTGGTGTCTTTTATACTCAGTATTTGACTGTAGTACATCTGTACACCACTACACCGCGCTCTGGAGCAGTGACCAGTGTGTCAGGGTGTCAGGACACTGGACGCATGCATTACTGCCATTCCTCATTACTGTAGAAGTCCTACGAACTGTAGGGTGAACTGTAGGATGTACTGTAGGGTGAACTGTAGGATGTACTGTAGGGTGAACTGTAGGATGTACTGTAGGGTGAACTGTAGGATGTACTGTAGGATGAACTGTAGGATGTACTGTAGGGTGAACTGTAGGATGTACTGTAGGATGAACTGTAGGATGTACTGTAGGATGAACTGTAGGATGTACTGTAGGGTGAACTGTAGGGTGAACTGTAGGATGAACTGTAGGATGTACTGTAGGGTGAACTGTAGGATGTACTGTAGGATGAACTGTAGGATGAACTGTAGGGTGAACTGTAGGATGTACTGTAGGGTGAACTGTAGGGTGAACTGTAGGGTGAACTGTAGGATGAACTGTAGGATGTACTGTAGGATGAACTGTAGGATGTACTGTAGGGTGAACTGGAGGATGTACTGTAGGATGAACTGTAGGATGAACTGTAGGGTGAACTGTAGGGTGAACTGTAGGGTGAACTGTAGGATGAACTGTAGGGTGAACTGTAGGATGTACTGTAGGGTGAACTGTAGGATGAACTGTAGGATGTACTGTAGGGTGAACTGGAGGATGTACTGTAGGATGAACTGTAGGATGAACTGTAGGGTGAACTGTAGGGTGAACTGTGTGGGCCACATACTACTGCAGGGCTACATGCGGCACTTTCCCTTTTATGGGCAATTTTTGTGGGAACAGCTTGGAATCTAAGGACAAACCGTATGGTTCCCACCCTGTAGTCCACAACATAATAAATATGGACCACACTGTATTAATGAAGTTGGACGTATGTCCATAAATGACTTAGATGGCATAAAGGGCATCTCTCTCTCTCTCTCTCTCTCTTTCTGTCACACACACACACACTGTGTAGTGTGCAGAATTGTTTGTTGGTTGTTCTTTGATAGCAACACTTCCTGGGGGAAACAAGGAGCCATGACCTTCTGTGAAGAAGTGAAGTGATTTTTTGTGTGTGAAAGGGGGGGGGGGGGGGGGGGGTCTTCTTGGTTTTTCTTAATATGGACTTGTTGAGCTCAGAGCGGAGGCTGAAGGATGCTGGGAGATAAAGTCATCCTCTCCTCCTGCAGCCTCCTAACTCTGACTAGAAAAGGGAATGTATGTAGCTGGCTGGAAGGAGGAGGTGGTGGAGGGGCGGGTTGAGGGAGGCTGGGGGAGTGGGGGAGTAGGGGAGTGGGGGAGTGTGACAAACTATCAGTGGGAGCGATCGCAGCCTGGAAGAGAGAATGTTTATCCAAAGCAGCGATCCCATTTTCCACACCAGCCTGTCTCTGTCTCTGTCTCTGTCTCTGTCTCTGTCTCTGTCTCTGTCTCTGTCTCTGTCTCTGTCTCTGTCTCTGTCTCTGTCTCTGTCTCTGTCTCTGTCTCTGTCTCTGTCTCTGTCTCTGTCTCTGTCTCTGTCTCTGTCTCTGTCTCTGTCTCTGTCTCTGTCTCTGTCGCTGTCTCTGTCTCTGTCTCTGCTTCTCCAACAGTAGTTGTGCAGTCTTTGTGTTTTTTATTTTGTGGCTGTGATCAGGTCGATGAGAGAGTCCAAACATCAGGACCGTGGACTGACACTGTACACACACAGACGTAGTGGAGCAGTTCCTCAACAGTGCAGTCCATGAGGAACTGTTGTTGTAACTGGAGACTTCTTACACTGTGCTAAAACTCTGAAAGAATTCCAAATATAGTCAACGTTCAGGCGGCAGACTGAGCGTGACCTCCTGCTGGTCAAACCGTGGATTTGCACAAGTAAACGTCATAAAGTACCGACAGTCATGTTTGAGGTTCATCCTCTAAAATCATTATCAATTGTTTTCTCTTCTATTTTAATTTCAGAATTTAGTATAAGCCTAATTTCACACTATCTACCAGACACTCGTAAACTCTCTCCCCCTTCCTCACCCCCCACTCTCTCTCTCATCAGATGCTCACTCTCTCCACCTTGTGTTTTGGTCCTGATCAGAAATCTCCGATGTAGAAGTTCGAAGTTCAACCTTTGACCTCAGCTCCGACACTGCTGTCATTCCCTACAGAAGAAAAGGCCGTCGGGATGAACTGAGTCAAACTGAAGGTTGATGTGAGTCACTTCTACTGCACGAACCACACAGACTGTCAGCTCTGTGGTTGTTGAATGGATGGTAGACAGTGTGTGTGTGTGTGTGTGTGTGTGTAATGGTAGACAAGGCAGCAGTACAGGAAGCTGGTCTTATGGTGGTCAATAGGGGCACCCTAAAAGATGTGTGTTTCTTCCACAGCAGCAGCCTCAGCAGCAGCAGCAGCCTCAGCCGCAGCAGCAGCCTC